CCCTTTGATATATCTCTTTTGTATATGTTTACACAATTAATTTTAATTCCTCACAAAAAGTCCTCACAGTCAACCGTAAGTAGCACAATGGCACAGTTAGTAGCACTGTTACCTTTCAGAAAGAGGTTCAGACGTAATAAAGTGGGATTTGTGGGTTTTCTCCGGGTGCTCCGGCTTCCTCCCTCAGACATTTTAAAATTGGCACGTGTGGGTTCTCTCTGGAAGCTCCGGCTTCCTCCCAGAAATAATAAAAGTAGGATTTGTGGGTTCTCTCTGGGTGCTCCGGCTTCTCCCACAGAAATAATAAAAGTAGGATTTGTGGGTTCTCTCTGGGTGCTCCGGCTTCCTCCCACAGAAATAATAAAAGTAGGATTGTGGGTTCTCTCTGGGTGCTCCGGCTTCCTCCCACAATAAAACTTTAGCTGTTCGGTTAATTGGTCTGCCCAAAATCTCCTCAGCTGTGAGTATGTGCTGCATGGTTGACAACATAACGACATAAACTTTATGATAACATTAACATATTCAAACACAAACTTATACTCTTAATCAAATTAAAGATTGTCTGTCCAGGATATGGGAATACAGCAACATGATTTTGTAGATAATGATGCACTAACACAATTCTTTAAGTTCTTTCACAAATATTGAAGTTTAACTTTGTTTCATGTTATTCTTTTGGGACTGATTCCAGTGAGAGGTAGTTTACTGCTACAGGTTCAGACTATTTTCTGTTAATATCTATTGTATAGACTTTCCCAGATCTACCTTTTGTAACATGTGTATTGTAAACTAATATTGTAATTGAATCTGTCTTTCTTTCAGAAGGTTTGTTGACAGTTTGTGTTTGTGTTTTTTATTTTGCCCTCTTGAAGCCAGCCAGCCTCGGCAGATGGCTGCTCATCCTGAGCCTGGTTCTGCTGGAGGTTTCTTCCTTTTAAAGGGAGTTTTCCTCTCCACTGTGCCTTGTGCTTGCTCAGGATGGGGGATCCCTTGGATTAAACATCCATCGCGATCTGCTGTGACCCCTCCGCAGAATCGCCACCTTAACGTGGTGGAGGGGTTTGAGTATCCCCATGACCAGATGGAGATTTTGTCTTGGGGTTCAGCCAATAGTGAGGCTTCCAGGGCAGGCTGCATTGGGGAGGGATCAGACTAAGAGCGATTCAAGGTTTTCAATGAAGGGCTACCAAAGGAATCAGGTATTTCTAGGACACAGACAGTTATCCCAAGTACGGTTTTGACGGAAGTTTCTCCCTATAAAAAGTCAGTATCTTCTTCACTGATAAAAATGACAATGAATTCACTGTACTCCAATGCCCTCCTGTGACTGCTAATTGTGCTTCCATTAAGGTACCAGAATGTGAGGGTCCTAAAGTCACATGGGGACTTTGGTCTATTTGACCCAAGGGCTTCTGTTCCACATGGCCAACGAGTGAGCAGTGTGAGACAAGTGGAGATTTGAGACAGACACACAGGCATGGAAGGTTTCTGGCTCAATACTTGGAGAGGAGCCACTCACCCACACTTGAAGGAGGTCCACACCTTGGAGGTTGCCTACACCTGAAGGGGCCAATGGGTCCATGTTTGAAGAAAAACTGCACACGACAGAGGGCCAGAAGGAGGCGTGCACATGTCAGTTCAGTGGTTCCCAGGTATATGCCAACATGCCTGGGCTTCTGTCTACATGTCTGGGATGGTGCCCACATACTCTTGATTTGTGTTTTAAAAATAAAGGCCTCTAAAGTGCTTCAAAGGTACTGGTGTTGTATCCACTCATTCTTCTTTGATGGCCTTTGTGCCCGTAACACTCCAAGTCAGTAAATCTCAATCCTTTAAAGAACATTTGGGATGCTGTGAGGTGGAATATTTGTATCATCAACATGGAGCCAACAAATATGCAGCAATTCATCATCTGCCAAAGATACAACTATACTATTTTACAGACCTTCCAACCTACACACAACAGAATGTGAGAAACTGCAACATTGCATGGCATGTGCAGGGTTTGTCTTCAGAAAACGTTCTAAGACTAGGGGTTGGGGCACCATAGCTGTTGACAGGAAACATAAGATATTACTGTGTAATTGAGTTACTTGAAGACAATACTTAAACCCAAAACTATAGAATCCAAAAAAAAATAAAAAATACAATTAAAAAAAAATGTCAGTGATTTGCAATTCTGTTAAATCCAAATTAAGTCATGTCGTCGATCCAAGAGCACAATATAATGCTGATCACATTTAGAACTGGCCTGAAGATACAAAGCTGGCATGTTTACTTAGTAAGAGTTCAAAGAACAATATTATAATTAGACTGTTTTGTTACCTCAACCACAATCTGGTGCTGTCAGTTAAATCTTTGAGTTTTAGCTCTGTTTGTTCACAAAACACTTAGTAAAACTACGATTTTAAGTGACTCTTCGGCCAATTAAACTGGGGATGGAGAGGGCAGTTTGGAGGGAGTGTCACATGACACAATTTTCCATTTCCTGCCATCATTTCCTCTTATGACAATCTTAGAATGTTCTGACCTATTCTGTGTTGTGTTGGGACAACTCCGACATAAAATCGGGGATAGTCAACATTGTCTTGGCCCTTTTATCGTAGCCAGTCACTGGGAATGAGAACGCAGCCTGTTGACTGTTACAGGTAGCCAATCAGAAAGTGTGGTGTCGTAAGCACAGAGTAAATGTTTTACTCATTTCAGCAGTCATCCACTAAGATGTTTCAGCATTTATTAAAAACGGAGCAAATGTCTGTAAAATATTTCACATTTCAATCACATTGACTCATTTAATTATTTCAAAATAGCAACATTTAGTATCAAAAGAGCAATGAATGCAAAATGTCATCTTTTTTTGTTTTTATTCATAAGCTTTTTTTGTTTTTTATTTACTAAGCAACAAAAACAGTAAAGAAATATTAAGGATATCGCTAATTACCAAATTTTGTTTGGTTTTTGTTACCCATGTTTTTAGGTTTATTATGAATGAGCTGAAGTGAAGCAGAATAAAGTTGTCAAATGAATTATGAATGGAGTTTATTTGAGGTCATCACCTTGGAGGCCTAGCCCTGCAATATAGATGTTTGTTTTTCTTCTTCTCCCTGGTTGACCCAAGTAATATAAGAATTTTCTATGTTCTTTGATAAATTGTATGTTTCATGCTCAATTATACATTTTCAACACATTTTAAGCACAACCGGAAGTTGAGTGATGTATGTTGATTGAATCATGGACAACAGAAGACTGAGTATTGTATGCTAATTGATACAGGAGACTAAGTACTGTATGCTAATTGATCATGCTCTGAGCTCATGGTCAAGTCGTGGGCAGGGAAGTAGCATTCTGATTGGCTAACCCGTCAGGAAGAGGGGAAATGGCCATTCCCTTCTTTCATTCGAGTTTGTTTTGGTAATGAGTATAAAAGGCAGAAAAGTCCCATTGTTCAGTAGAGTCAGAGTAGAGTACGGACGCCCAATTTTTACCGCTGCACCATTGAGAGCATCCTCACCAACTGCATCACAGTTTGGTATGGGAACTGCTCTGTCTCCGACCGGAAGGCGCTGCAGAGGGTGGTGAAAACTGCGCAGTGTAACTTTCTCTAGAGAGATAAAAAAAAAGACAAATCTTCAAGACGTGACTGCCTGCGAGTGGTCCCTCAGCTCCACCAGCACTCCGCAGAATTCTTTATTACATTTTTTGTGTGTGTGTGTGTGTGTGTGATCGTATAGGTTAAATCGAACAGTTAACAATTTCTTAAAATCAAAACAAAACATTCTCATTTCAAAATAACTTCAACAAAACCAACAGTAAAATAACTGCCATCGCAGCCAACAGTTAACAGTTATAACTTTTGGAAAACATTTCTATATATATTTTTTATACATGTATACATATGTTTTTATAACCAGAACCCACCTAGAGTGATAAAAAAGACAAATCTTCAAGACGTGACTGCCTGCGAGTGGTCCCTCAGCTGAAAAACAACAGATATAGTTAGCGTCATGACTGTTGGTCAGCCAGCAACACCAACTGCAGCTCTCACACATAGGGTCATATTTTCCAGCCCAACCACGACAAAACGTCATAATTTATATTTATGAATGTCAGTTGTTATTATAGTATTTGTTAAGTACTGAACCAGAAAAATATGACCCCAAGTAAAAAAAATAATGAAGAGCTGCGCCTCCACCAGCACTCCGCAGAATTCTGGTGGGGGAAACCGCGAGAGCGCCTGAAGGACCCGTCGCATGCAGTGCGTGATCATACCACTAGGTGGCTCCAAAACATGGCGTTACTCAAAAATCTCATCAAAAACAAACACAACCTTCATTATTTTGGGCAAAATTCACAGACATATTATACACACTTTGCTCTCTGTTACACCAGCACATCGCCAGGGCATCGCTCCCTGCCATCAATGATATCTACAGGAAGTGGTGTCTGAAAAGGGCCTGGAAAATCACCGAGGACTTCACTCACCCTGCACACACGCTCTTCTCTCTCCTGCCCTCTGGGAGGCGTTACAGAAGCCTACGGACCAGAACCACCAGGCACCGGAACAGCTCTTTCCCACAGCTGTCACGCTCCTGAACGCCTCCTGACACAAACTATAAGGACTGTACGCCTCACACACATACATGATCTGTATACAATTCTTATATAATCTGTAAATCTAACTTGCCATTATTTATCCTGTATTATAAAACAACTAATATATATATACACTATCCATTCTTCATATTCCTGTATATTCCATATAATCTGTGTAATTTGTATAATATGTGCATAGCTCTCATATTTATGTTTATATTTGTAGAAAACATTTTATTATAGCACATCAATATTATTCTCTGTTTATATCTTTGTACAACTGTTTATAAATATTTATATCCTGTATAGCACTTCTGGATAGATGCAAACTACATTTTGTTGCTTTGTACATGTGACAGTGCAATGACAATAAAGTTGAATTCTATTCTATCTTTTCTATTCTAAGCTTAAAGGACATTATAAGAAGAGGTTGGAAAAGTTGTTGCGTGTGGAAAAGCTTTGTGGATTCTAAATATAAATTCAAAATTCTTTCATGGAAACCTGACCAAGCAGAACAAGTTTCCATGAAAGAAAGAAGAAAAACAAAACCCACAGCCGGTTAATTAACAAGATAATTAATAAAGAACCACAATAATCGCAGCAGTCTTTTGAAGCCTGAAATATAGAGTTGTTCTCCTCACTTCTTTGGTGATGGATAACACTGCTTGTTGACTTTTTCTCACAGACGAACACTTCTGCATTATTTCTAGGAGCAAAAACATATTTCACAATATCACATTTTCAGCATTTCTGCTCATTATAAAATATTTTTGAAACCACGGCTGAAAACTTACAAATAACTGACTCTGAGGTCAGTCGAGCTGTTTGGGGGTCTGCAACAATTATACACATTGTTCTTAGTCTACTTTTAATTTTTTAATCACTTAATGTCTGATATTCTTGTTTGTAATAAACATGAAATTATTACCTTGAAAATCTATTCCAGAAAGAGTTTCTGTAAAAGAAACATTCAAGTAGTAGCAACTTAACATTGACAATGAGGAGATTTAACAACAGAAAATGTTCCTATCTGGTGATCTGCCAGCCGACTTGACCGTCCTCTGATTGTCTGAAAATAAGTGTTGCAAACATCAGAACTGAGGATTAAAAGGGCAGAATTTGCTTTTTGTTGATCTTACCGAGAAAACCTGCTCCAAACTGAATTCCTGCACAGAAACATTTGTTAATTTTTAGTATGTGATCAACTGCAGTTTCAAAAAAAGCTTTTTGGTTGTGCACCTTTTTTCTGGCCTTGGAGGTTTCTGTCTATCTCCCTCAAAGTAAGTCCTATAGGTATTAAAATGGTTTTGGATTTACTATTTGCTTGTGCAAAAACAAAAAGAAACTGAGTAAAACGTTTAATTCAATTCACCTGGTTAATCTACCCCAAAGAGATCTTTTGTGTATGGGGGATGTTTACATCCCTGTGGAAGAACAAGGATGTAAACATCCATTTATCAGTGACACAGTGTTACATTTGAGAGTGAATATGAGTGTAAAGTGAGCTGTATAAATTTCTAATTCCAAGCATGTAAGATCATTGTTGTTCATTAGTATTAGCAAAATATTTAATGAACACTCATTATTATCTATAATATTTGAATCAAGATGTTTAGATTGAGAGGCAAGACATCTCTCTTAATTTTGTCCATGAACAGCAAATTGGATTTAAAACAACCCTTACCTTACCTTACCTTACCTTACCTTACCTTACCTTACCTTACCTTACCTTACCTTACCTTACCTTACCTTACTTACCTTACCTTACCTTACCTTACCTTACCTTACTTTACCTTACCTTACCTTACCTTACCTTAGTTCACCTTACCTTACCTTACCTTACCTTACCTTACCTTACCTTACCTACCTTACCTTACCTTACCTTACCTTACCTTACCTTACCTTACCTTACCTTACCTTACTTACCTTACCTTAACCTTACCTTACCTTACCTTACCTTACCTTACCTTACCTTACCTTACCTTACCTTACCTTACCTTACCTTAGTTCACTTACCTTACCTTACCTTACCTTACCTTACCTTACCTTACCTTACCTTACCTTACCTTACCTTACCTTACCTTACCTTACCTTACCTTACCTTACATTACCCTAACAACTCATATCAAAACAGAGAGCAAAAGTGCTAAATTAGCACAGCACTTAAAAGTTCTTGGAGGTAAAATTCTTGCCTTTCTCTGGTCTTGGCGGAGGCGTCAGAGGGCCATCGGTGTGCTTTCTGGTGATGAGAAAATTGTAATTTCTTTAGGTCAGCTTCATTTTCTTTAATTGGCCTCATTTTTGAAGGTAAAAAAACATCAGCGCAATACATGCAAAAGCATATATTAGTCGATTTTGAGAGGTTTACTCACCTTTTCCTGTAGAAGAATATGCCAAGCAGCACAGCAAAGAGGATCAGCACTAAGATGACAACAGGAATCACCACAGGGATAGCTTTCTGTATCTGGTACGCCATAGTTCCTGGAGATGAAGATATAAAAATAATCATAATGAGAAATCTCTCAGTTTCCTGTGTCCAATGCTTTGATAAGAAAAATGATTTGTTGAGTCTAACCCTCTACAATTAATTTGAAAGTCCTGGTTTCATTCTTTCCACGCCAGAAGATGGCGGTACAGTTCAGGTTTCTCTGTCCATCTCCTCCAGCAACCACAAACGTGATGGTGGACGTCGTCTTCCAGACACCTCGTGACATCAGTGTCTGAAACCTCGTTGTTGACATAAGGGACACTCCATGAAAACTTTGGAGGATGTGATGAGCATGAGTGACTGACAGAACAGGAGACATTTACAGTTGAACCAGCATTCACTTGAGCTGGAACTAAACTCATCACTGGTTTCTCTGGAGAAGCTGAGGATTAAAGACAAAGACGTTTGCTATTGCTCAGATTGGAAGAAAATGTATCACAAACAGCATGCGAATGATGTAAAACATTAGTAAGGATTCTTGACCTTTCATGACGATAAAAACGCAGCTGTTGTTAAATCTGTATTTGTTTGTTCCTTTCTCCATAGAAACAGAAAGGGCCATTGTCAAAGGGTTTTATGTCGTCAATCTCCAAAGAGCAGTCTCCTTCATCCAGGTTTCCCAGAATTTTGGTCCGGTCCTTGAACTGGTCCAAAACATTACTGCGGGCATTGTGGTACACCAGACCCCCAGTTTTTTGTACCAGATGCCACGAGTCAGGGGCTGATCCTCGTCATCCTGGAAACTGCAGGGGATGACCACACAGGACCGAGTCAAGGCATTGAATCTGCGAGGGACGTCAGCAGCCAGGACGCGGAAAGCTGTTGGGGGGGCGAGAGGACCAGTTAAACTTAGAAAGGTGCTGTCAGAAAATACAGGACATTTAATACAAAAGACATGAAAATTATACAGATACACAAAACTGATAGCCTTAAATCTGAAATAATGCACAAAAAGAGAGAAAAATAAGCAGGAAATCAGTGTCTTATGCAAGTTGTCTGGTGTAAGGAAAAAGAAAGGTGAGCTCACTATCTTTCTCGTTCAGTTCTTCTTCAACCGGTACATATTCTGTAAAATGAATAAATAAATGAATTTATTTTTGATTAGTAGCTAAGCAATAAACCCAAGTGAAAGCTATAAGTTTAACTGGATTAAAGAAAGCAGTCATTGTTTACTGGCCAACATTTTGAAACTGTAAATCTTCCAAGGCGTCTGGTGTCTCAAGTATTGCTCTGCAGATTTAAACACTGAAAATTTTAACTTCAATTCTGAGTTCTAATTTTAATTTGAACTATAGTGGTAACAATGTGTGTTAGATGTAAAAACTCACTTTTATCTGAAGAAGTGAGGAGTTTGTGTTTCTCCAGTCAGAAAATGTGCAATGCAGGTCAAAGGTTTTCCATTGTCTTCAAGGGAACCAATAAACGTAAGATTGGACTCAGTGGTATACGTATTACTGGATATTTTTTTGAGCTTTTGTAAATGCAGCATGTCTGAAAGTTCCACTCAATTGTTGGTGTATTTGTCTTGCATTTGTAGGACACAGAACAAATTACACTCTTTGCCACTCCTTCTATTAGCTCTCCTGGAGGTTCAACCATTTTGATTGTTTCAAATGGGCCTAAGCAAAAAATTAAACTTTACTTGTGAAGAAAACTTAAAAATCTCATCAATTTAAACCACAGCATGTATATTTATACTCACATTCAACATGCAGGAGGAGCTCACTTTTGGCACTTTGTCCACCAGGATATCTCACAGTGCACTCCACCTTCTTGTGGTCTTCTTCTACATTCCAAGTTCGTTCTATTGTTCTTTCCCAAATGCCGTCTGACAACAAGGAGTCAATGGTGCGGTCTGTTCCAGGAATGCCATTCAGAGACAGGGCAGGAGGAGCAGAAGAACATGTATATTTCACTTTACAGGTAACCTGCTTGAGCTCCCACCTTAGGAACATCAATGATGCTCATTTGGGGTTCTTGTGCCTGGTCTATAAAGATAAAAATAGAAATATGTTAATGTATGATGATTCCAACTAAAATGTAGATATTTAAAATACTGGTGAAAGAGTGAAAGGAAAAGTTTAACATACATTATTTTAACCTAAACAACAGTTTAACTAGACAGACAAGTTTCTTGCTGCAATGGGAATAACTGCACAAGATATGAATATTTGTCAGATTTATTTTGCTTAATCAAGAAGTTGTTTTCCCAGACATGATTTGTGCATTAAGTTGTTATGCTGCTCTTGAGAGTTGGTAAATAAAAGAAATGAGTGTGTCTGTTGTGAAGTCAACCAACTGGACCTGAGACGAACAAAGAAGGATTATATATATATATATATATATATATATATATATATATATATATATATATATATATATATATATATATATATATATATATATATATATATATATAATCCTTCTTTGTTTTTGTAATAGAATCCTTCTTTGTTCCTCTGCCTCCGCAAGGAAGGAGGCAGAGGACTAGTGAGTGTGAGAACCACTGTCCAGGACGAAACAACTAAGATCCATAAATACATCAGGGACAAAGCCTCAACAGATAATGTGCTCAGTGAATGTCTCAGACAACAGGGAACGGAGGTTGAAGTGCCAGAGATACCATCATGGGAGGACAAGCCCCTACATGGGATGTACCACCAGCAAATAACCCAAGTGGCTGATATCAGTAAATCCTACCAATGGCTGGAAAAAGCTGGACTCAAGGACAGCACAGAGGCCCTCATCCTGACCGCCCAGGAACAGGCCCTAAACACCAGAGCAATAGAGGCCCAGATCTACCACACCAGACAAGACCCAAGGTGTAGGTTGTGCAAGGAGGCCCCTGAGACAGTCCAGCACATCACAGCAGGGTGCAAGATACTGGCAGGGAAAGCGTACATGGAACGACATAACCAAGTGGCAGGCATAGTGTACAGAAACATCTGTGCAGAATATGGACTGGAAACCCCGAGATCAAAGTGGGAAACACCCCCAAAGGTGGTGAACACCAGAGCTAAGATCCTGTGGGACTTCCAGATCCAGACAGACAAAATGGTAATGGCGAACCAACCAGACATTGTCGTAGTGGATAAACAACAGAGGAAAGCCGTTGTGGTAGATGTAGCAATACCAAGTGATTGCAACATCAGGAAAAAGGAGCACGAGAAACTGGAGAAATACCAGGGCCTCAGGGAAGAACTGGAGAGGGCCTGGAAGGTGAAGACCACAGTGGTGCCTGTGGTCATCGGGGCCCTCGGGGCAGTAACCCCCAAACTGGAGCAGTGGCTACAACAGATCCCAGGAAACAACATCAGACATCTCAGTTAAGAAATGTGCAGTTCTTGGCACAGCCAAGATACTGCGCAGGACCCTCAAGCTCCCAGGCCTCTGGTAGAGGACCCGAGCTCAGAGGATAAGAAACCACCGCGGTGGGTGAGAAGGGAAATTTATTATGTGTGTGTGTGTGTTCTTACCTGAAACCATAATTTTGGTGCTTCTATCCAAAAACGAATGTCCCTGTGAGTGGTAGGAGGTAATTGGGTTGATATCAACCCATGGATAGAGTTTATCCTCATTGTGAGACATATCCAGCCGGTCTATTTTAAGACTACAATTGCGGTCTGACACAGAGCCAGTCAAATGTGTTATCCCATTATATCTGCTTAAAATATTTGATTGTCTTTGGTTGAATACGTCTGCGCGTCCATTACTTTGGTACAAGTACCAGACAACTTGGAGGCCACTCGGTTGGGCTTTGCTGTAGGAAAACTTGCAAGGAATGATGATACATGATCCTTTCATTCCGTTACGCTTCTTGGAGTAGTGAAAGACCAGTCCAGATTGAGCATGTTTCCTGTAAAACACATAAAAACAAAACGATTTTGATTGGCCAGAGTAGTTTAAGCCTAATTTTAACTGATTTGCCCTGGACAGACCATAGATTTTACATTTGAATGTTGTGTCTGCAATAGTATTATTTGTTGTCTTGGTGGGAAAAATAGTTACATTAACTCCTAAATCGAGACTTACAGGGTTCAAATGCCTAAACTGCAAAAACACAAAATCCTACCAAATAATTTTGGTCTAGTTTTTACTGCTAGTATCTCAACTTTTTTTTTACTGCTAGTATCTCAACCCCAAATTCCCAGGAATTTGGGGTTGGAAACCAAAATACCAGGAATTTGAATTAACTCCCAATCAGGTCTGCAGGAATGGAGACTCATCTAAAACATGCATTGCAGTGATGCTGGATATCAGAGTTGTTACATGTGTAGTTTTGCTGTTCTGAAACATGAATTTATTTATTTTTATTTTAACACCAAGCCATTTCATTGCCTCGTTCCATAATGGGACTATGTGGCTATTGTTTATTAATAATCAGGTTGTACCCTGACTATGTAATTTTAATATAAATTACTAACTTTGTTAATAATTGCCATTAGCAAAAATTTTTCATAGCCAAATCAGACCAATTGTTGGACAACAATTGCAAAATACAAGAAGAAATGTCAGAGATCCTCCAAGTAGGATGTAATTGTTCACAGAATACATGTTTTGAATCACATCAGTACAAGAAAGCACCAAGAACGGGAAGACATGTTAATGTGTTCTTCAGTGACCAAAACCACACTGAAGACACAAAAGCAGAAGAGTGGTAAAACAGTAAGACAATAATTAAGTTTAGAATTGTGGAAAGAGTTTTGCACAGATGTGTTTGATAAAACACAACTGATATGAAGTTTATTGATCTATCAATACAATGCAAGAGTATAAAATTATTTATTTGGTGCTCTGCCTTTTAAACTTACTAGCTTCACAGTATTCAGGAAGCTAAATAAGTTGTCAACAATGTCACCCTGGAAATACGGAAAAGCACTGCTCAGGTCCTGCTTTAACCTCATCGTCTAAAGTCCCTCTAGAGTCAAAAGTCATTTTTACGTAATTCAGCTGAGTTGCATTCAAACTTTGTGACATTTTCATTTCGTATATCTTCTGGAAAAACCTGCCATTGAGTTCATCCAGACAGAGTATAACAAGCAGTCTATACCTGAAGTGTGGTTTATTGTCCAACATTTGAGGAATAACTCATCCAGGTGTGGATATGTAGAAAAAAAGATGTTACTAACCAAGTGTACTTTAAACCTTTTGTGAAGAAGGGCTGAATCCCCTCATTGTATCTCGTGAGATAGATGTTGGCAGACAGTCAGAAGTTCAGGGAATACACAGTTTCTGATGTGACAAACTTTTAGGGTCTATTTTTCTCTGTTTTAGGAACTGGACAGATGTAGTCCTCACTTACACGCTTCCGGAAATAAGTGGGGTTTGGATTCTATGTTTCTGTATACTCTCTTATTTTCTCTATAGTATTTTGGTTCGATCAGCCCTGAACTCTGCTAAAGTGAGTTGTACTACATACCAAGCAAAATGGTTTATAATAACCTTCCTTTAATTAGGCAAAAATAATAATAAAATAAGGAAATGACAGGTTTAGGGTTTAGACAAACCAGAAAAAATAAACATTATTCCCACAGAACAGTAAATTCATACAGGGTAAACACTAGTTATATAACCCAGTATTGTAAACTAAGATAATATGGCAGCAAATACTATCTACTTTGCAGGCCTGTTAAGATGCTCAGGAATCAGGATTCCCTCCGACTCAACAGTCCAGATATTGACTGTCAACTCAGTACCTTGTTGTCCAACAAATCCAAGCGATACTTCACCCAGTGTCCAGCGAGCCCTCTAAACCATCCAAAAACAGTAGCTCAGGGAAAAAGCAGTTGTGTGGCCTTCATGTGCTCTCCACATCGACGGCTCTCCTTTCCCTCGGTGCCAGAGGTACTCTGAGCGACACGGGCACTCAGAGTGACTATCTGGAGTCAAGGTCCTCGTTAACCAGTCCGGTAACGACCTTCTGTAACGTTTTAAGTGCTACTCTAACAGTCACAGCTGCTTACAAAAGTCCTTTGTAGCAACAGCTTTGCTCTAACTTTAGAGTGAATATACAACCAAGAAAACTAACACACAGTTAGACAGTTTCTAGCCAAAACTTGACTATGTACTGGTAGCTTGCATAACTTCTCTTGAAGACAAGTTTTACTCACTTCTAGAAACTTCTTAAAACAACGGCTCCTCCTGTGCTATCCCTTCTCTCGCTCTTGCTTACTGTTCTCTCTCTCTTTCTGCTCCTTAAGGTGAATGATAATCAGATCATTAAAAAAATATTAGGAAAAGTGGTGTTTCTTGTAGATATAACATTAGGCTTTATGATTTTCTTTCTCTTAGTCTTGGTACCCCACCTAAAACTTTGTTTTGTTTTTAGGGAAGAACTCTTCTGAATCCAGGACATTATTGGGCCTTTGTAGATTTCCCAGGATGTTTTAGCCATCGCACTGTCCCACAAAGCTGCCATCATTCATGTATCCCTGGGTTACATTCCCAATATTGTTTCCCCAACTTCCTCCCTCTCTTGTGGCACACTCATGCACACTGGAAGAAAAAGTGCTTCCTGTGTGCCCCTTGTGCACACAGGACTGCAGGTGCCCCTCATGAACATGCATGAGGGGCATGCTGTGCATGAGTGTGCCCCGCGTGAACACTGGACTGCATGCGGGGTCCTCCTATTTACAATGAGGACCCTGAACCCGGTTCTTCTGGTTCCCAGGAGACACTCTGAGATTCTTCAGTACAAAAGGTCCACACACACAGACACAGGCACTCATGCCTCCAGTGTGCATGTGCCGGAGCATGCATGTGCATGAGTGTGCACCTCATGCACACATGCTCCAGTGTGCATGAGGGGCTCCAGTGTGCCCATCATGCAGTTATGTGTCCCCATCTTGGTGCCTGCACGTTGGCGTTTACCCCAACGTGCAGGCACTCCAGAAAGGGTGGCACACTCATCATGCTCCAGTATGCATGTGCCCCTCATGCACATGCATGTGTGCACACTCATCAGGGGCTCCAGTGTGCTCCTCATGCACACTGGAGTGCATGAGGTTCAGGGTTCTGACCGTTGTCTGTCCTTATGGGCCAAACAACAGTTCAGATTACCCACCCTTTTTGGTACGGGGTACTGGAGTGTGCCTCTCAGGGGTATTCATTTGTTCTACTGGGGTCTGCAACGGGGCAATGTCAGTGAGACATGGAGGGATGTGGTTGGGAGGAATGGCCCTGCTGATCTAAACTCCAGTGGTGAACTGTTGCTGGACTTCTGTGTTTGTCATGGATTGTCCTGTGCATGGCTGTTTGTCCGTCTCTCTCTTAATTGAGCAGGATCCATTGAAATATCTTTTTAAATAATTCTTATTTTCTTAACCTCCTCCCAAAAAGCCCTGGTTTTGTTGCATTGCCATAAGCAATGTAATAGTTCCCCTTTCTCCATCATGCATACACAAATATAGAAAGTTGGGGTTACATTTATTCAGTTTTATAGCTGCATTTAGATACAAGTTCACACAATAGTTCCTAAACTTTGAAGTGCATATGAAAACAGGACTAACAATAACAAGAATAGCAGAAACTTTTTGATAATGTGCAACTAAGTAGCACAACTTTGTCAAAATGTACATAACGTGCATATTGAACTGTAAATATATAACAGGAAATGTACAATCCAGTGTGTCGGTGTAGAGAAAGCGCTCTGCAGTAATAACGGAAATGTTTTTATCAAACATGTCTAAAAAACTGTGCAATAACTGCATGTAAATGCCAGTAGGGAAGTAAACATTTCTTGATTTTGTTTAGAGCAGTGATTTGATTGACTAATTTAACAAGATAATTTTTTTTTCGTACCTTAATTTTTAAAATGCTTTAAATGAATTTAAAAGAGGCAGAAATGAATTGTGGGCAGGTTCTGTGGAGCATTCTGATGTCACATAAGCTGACTTGTCATCAGGCGCTTTTGGAACTTTTGTCAATAAGAGCCGAGTTCCTACAGGAATTCATCCATTTGAAGAGTTAGACGTCGGATAGATTACTTCAAAAAATTCAAGAAATTGAACTGAGCTTCAGTTTTTCGAGTAAGTATTTATTTAGAAATTAGTGAAGCAAAGAAAAAAATGACATTTTGTGTGCCAGTTTTTTGAAGGAAGTGTGCAGCAATGTTGAAAAAAAGTTGAGCAAGACAAGTTGTTAGTAATCAGTTTTTTTAGCTCAACATCAAATTGTTTAATTTGAGTAACTTTTTGATGTAAACATTAAACGTCTCATTTGTGTTTTTAGTACCTTTTTTTTATTTACGCGAACTTCACTGAGTATTGAAACAGCAGAAAAATATTAAGGAGTTCTACATGCAAAATAATGTTTTTCTTTAATTTTTATGGATGGTTGGTGATTTTCACACATGAAATGATTAATTTGATTTGATAGGTAACTAAATGATGTTCTGATCAACATTAAATGAAGTTTTTGATATATTACATCTTTAAATTTACAGTGTTTACGAGGAAAATGACTTTTACTGTAGAGTTGTGTTGGTACATTTTGGACATGCTTTGCACCAAAATGTACCACTTTTGCATGTCTTTGGTTTTTTACAGTCATGCTTAGAAGAAGTGAACGTTTGAGAAACAACGGATACTATGATATGGATGGACAACCTGTTATTTCATACAGGGAGGCGCCAATCAGGTAGATCAAATCAGCAATTTTCATTAAGTCATATGTTTTATGCAGTCATCTGCGGATCAGTGTACATTTTAACTCACTTGTATATTTTTCATCTAGGGCCATAAGGAGGCGCTTAACAGGTCGTCCTGAAAACCACCCTGCAGTCACATTTAGAGAGAGGTCACATTATTCTGGTGACAATGTGATTGACAGAGAAAGACAGATGATGATGACTCTGTTGCAGGGTGGTTTTGATATATCAGTCTTTGTCTTCTCATCTTCGTCACTTTTGGTAAATAATCTCCTACAAACAGTCAATTTGGAAGTGTCACAGAAAGTCTGTATTTTTAAATTTTTTCTCACTGTTGTCTTCTGCTCATGTTCATCAGGATGTATTTGCTGTATTATTTCCTTCCACTCACGATCTTCACAGTTGTCTCTCACAACTCTAACAGACATGGTAGGCTTTCTCTTCCTAATCTTAACACTGATTTAATTATCATGATCAAACATGAGAACAAGCTGTTAATTTTTATGTTGTGCACAGGTTACGATCTTTGGACGCAAGGATCAAAGACATCTCTCCAACCTGGAGTTGTTGGAGCAGAAGGTTGACTACCTTCTGCCACAAGCAGACCTGTGGCCCAACTTTGCTCTGGAGTCTCAAGGCGAGCCATTACAAATAAGATCATCAACTAGATTTCAAATTTTCAGTATTAAAATTTTCTAACTCACATTATTTCTGTTTTTGTGTTTTGTGTACAGGAGCAAATATTTTACACAAGATGACTCAGAGGCTTATGACATCAATAAAGAAGTTGGAAGGTTTGGGAAATTGTTCAAGAGACCTCCTATTGGCCCAGGCATTGTTATTAAGGTTTGAATGATGATCAGATCATTAAAAAAATAAAAGTGGTGTTTCTTGGTGATATATTATTAGGCTTTATGATTTACTTTTCTCTTAGTCTTGGTACCCCACTTAAATTTTGTTCTCTGTTTTCAGGGAAAAAATCGTCTGCAACCTGGAAAATGCTGGGCCTTTCCAGGTTTCCAGGGACGTTTGGGCGTCTCACTTTCACACCCAGCCACCATCAGACATGTGTCCCTGGGTCACATTGCTAAGACTGTGTCCCCCAACGTCCTCTGTCTCTAGTGCTCCCAAAGAATTCTGTATATGTAAGTCAAATAAAATGAGTGTCAAAAGTGTAATATAGATATAGCCACGTATAGTATATATTAAGTATACATCAAAAGGTGATAGCATTGATTCCATATGACATTGCTTGATCTCATTCTAAACCATGCAAACTTTCTGTCTGCACTAATGAATTTTCTGTTTATCTCAGGATGTGATATGTTTTCTGATACACCGACTAACTTTCACATATGTGAAAGAACAAGATAATGAACTGAATTTTTATCTAATTTTGTCTCAGGGAAAGAAGAATTTAGAAGATGAGGAAACTCATTTGGGAACTTTCCAATACGATGAAGATGGAGACCAAATACAGACCTTCAAACTTCCTGTAAATATGTCAAATTAATGTTTTATTAACCAAATACAGTTCTCTCAGAAGACCAGACTTACCTACCCTGTTATAAATATTGATATATTGAAATGATGATCATATATTCTAACATACAATCATAAGGTTCTTCACTGGGTATTACTAGCATTCAATTTAAAAACATACTTTGAATAAAGTACCGTATTATTGTTTCATTCAAAAGGCTTCAATGAAAAACTCTACTTAAACCATAAAAATGTATGTTAATCTTGCACTTTTAGAGTAGTGGTAACTGATAAAAAGCATTGAAAAATTAATCAATTAGTTAAGTTGTCTAGAAATAGTGCCTAAATGTAATGCAGCCACATTAAGCTTTGTTATTGAACCATAACTATTCCAAAACACAGAGATACAAAGTGTTTAACTTGAACAAATGGAAAAAACTGTAGATTTATTTGGCCATCTATTAAGGAAAATTGTTGTCTTGGCATAAATCTCATTGAGACTTTTATTACATCACGGTAACAAAATACAAAAAGTCAACCTCTTATTATTAAGATGTGGGAGATTCTTCAATCAACACGGAGACTCGGATTTCTTTTACTGAACATTTCTGTTCAGTTTTTATTGAGGAGAAAACAGTGACAGCTGATCACAGCTGTTTGTTACCTAGCAACCAAAATCAACAGAAGCAAGACAGTGACGAAATACAGAACCACATCCGGTTTAGCATTCTTCAAAATAAAAGACTTCCTCTATTCAAATAAATCATGCCTCGCACTTAAATATATTTCACTGTAGCTTTTGTAATTATTTACAATCATGTTAATTTAAATAAATAATAATCATCACGTAAATTATGCTCAACATACAATTGTAAGGAAGTCACTTAAAATGCAAATTGTACTTAACAAATAAATAAAAATGTAAAAAAGTCATAACACTTTTCACAAAACAATAATTTTTATTGTCTCTGTATAACAAACAACAAAATCCCAGTGTTACTACAAAACATTTTGTTTTCTGGTTAGCAAGATATCAGTATAATTACCTCGCTATCTTGAGATAAACTATGCAAAATGTATTTACAGCAAGGAAAGTTGAACTAGGCTTCCATCAGACAGACCTCCTTTGTTTCTATCATCTATTTGCAACTATGGATTATCAATCTAACCTCCCTAATTTATATCTCTCTTGACTTACAGGCCGATAAAGTTGGTTCCTTCCGTCATGTGACTCTAAAGGTGAACAGCAACTGGGGTCATCCGGACTACACCTGCCTCTATAACTTTAGAGTGCATGGAGAAATTGCAAAATGACGAGGAGAAATGGATGACATATGGAGAAAACTATTTTTTTACCCTTTGATATATCTCTTTTGTATATGTTTACACAATTAATTTTAATTCCTCACAAAAAGTCCTCACAGTCAACCGTAAGTAGCACAATGGCACAGTTAGTAGCACTGTTACCTTTCAGAAAGAGGTTCAGACGTAATAAAAGTGGGATTTGTGGGTTTTCTCCGGGTGCTCCGGCTTCCTCCCTCAGACATTTTAAAATTGGCACGTGTGGGTTCTCTATGGAAGCTCCGGCTTCCTCCCACAGAAATAATAAAAGTAGGATTTGTGGGTTCTCTCTGGGTGCTCCGGCTTCCTCCCACAGAAATAATAAAAGTAGGATTTGTGGGTTCTCTCTGGGTGCTCCGGCTTCCTCCCACAGAAATAATAAAAGTAGGATTTGTGGGTTCTCTCTGTGGCTTCCTCTCTCTGGGTGCTCCGGCTTCCTCCCACAATAAAACTTTAGCTGTTCGGTTAATTGGTCTGCCCAAAATCTCCTCAGCTGTGAGTATGTGCTGCATGGTTGACAACATAACGACATAAACTTTATGATAACATTAACATATTCAAACACAAACTTATACTCTTAATCAAATTAAAGATTGTCTGTCCAGGATATGGGAATACAGCAACATGATTTTGTAGATAATGATGCACTAACACAATTCTTTAAGTTCTTTCACAAATATTGAAGTTTAACTTTGTTTCATGTTATTCTTTTGGGACTGATTCCAGTGAGAGGTAGTTTACTGCTACAGGTTCAGACTATTTTCTGTTAATATCTATTGTATAGACTTTCCCAGATCTACCTTTTGTAACATGTGTATTGTAAACTAATATTGTAATTGAATCTGTCTTTCTTTCAGAAGGTTTGTTGACAGTTTTGTGTTTGTGTGTTTTTTATTTTTGCCCTCTTGAAGCCAGCCAGCCTCGGCAGATGGCTGCTCATCCTGAGCCTGGTTCTGCTGGAGGTTTCTTCCTTTTAAAGGGAGTTTTCCTCTCCACTGTTGCCTTGTGCTTGCTCAGGATGGGGGATCCCTTGGATTAAACATCCATCGCGATCTGCTGGTGACCCCTCCGCAGAATCGCCACCTTAACGTGGTGGAGGGGTTTGAGTATCCCCATGACCCAGATGGAGATTTTGTCTTGGGGTTCAGCCAATAGTGAGGCTTCCCAGGGCAGGCTGCCATTGGGGAGGGATCAGACTAAGAGCGATTCAAGGTTTTCAATGAAGGGCTACCAAAGGAATCAGGTATTTCTAGGACACAGACAGTTATCCCAAGTACGGTTTTGACGGAAGTTTCTCCCTATAAAAAGTCAGTAATCTTCTTCACTGATAAAAATGACAATGAATTCACTGTACTCCAATGCCCTCCTGTGACTGCTAATTGTGCTTCCATTAAGGTACCAGAATGTGAGGGTCCTAAAGTCACATGGGGACTTTGGTCTATTTGACCCAAGGGCTTCTGTTCCACATGGCCAACGAGTGAGCAGTGTGAGACAAGTGGAGATTTGAGACAGACACACAGGCATGGAAGGTTCTGGCTCAATACTTGGAGAGGAGCCACTCACCCACACTTGAAGGAGGTCCACACCTTGGAGGAGTTGCCTACACCTGAAGGGGCCAATGGGTCCATGTTTGAAGAAAAACTGCACACGACAGAGGGCCAGAAGGAGGCGTGCACATGTCAGTTCAGTGGTTCCCAGGTATATGCCAACATGCCTGGGCTTCTGTCT